TGATCTCAGGAACCCATGAGATCATGACCTGAGCCGAAGTTAAGAGTCGGAGGCTTAACTGACTGAGCCCCAGGTGCCCCATGGTAGTTCTATTTTTAATTTTTGAAAGAGCTTTCATTCTGTTTTCCACAGTGGCTGTACCAGTTTGCACTCCCAAGGTGTACAGGGGTTCCTTTTTCTCCACATCCTTGCTAACACCTGTTGTTTCTTGTTTTTTATTTTAGCCATTCTGACAGGTGTGATATGTCATTAGTTTTGATTTGCATTTCCCTGATGATGAGTGATGATGAGCATCTTTTCATGTCTGTTGGCCATCTGTATATCTTTGGAGAAATGTCTGTTCGTGTCTTCTGCCCATTTTTTAATTGGATTATTTGAGGGTGGTTTTTTTGTTTTTTTGGTTTTTTTTTTTTTTTTGGTGTTGAGTCATATAAGTACTTTATATACTTTGGATATTAACCCTTTATTGTATATATCATTTACAAATACCTTCTCCCCTTCGGTAGGTTGTCTTTTAGTTTTGTTGATAGTTTCCTTTGCTGTGCAGAAGCTTTTTATTTGGATGTCGTCCCCATAGTTTATTTTTGCTCTGCTTTTGTTTCCCTTGCCTCAGGAGACATCTAGAAAAATATTACAGCTGCTATCAGAGAAATTATTGCCTGTGATCTCTTCTAGGATTTTTATGGCTTCAGGCCTCACATTTAGATCCTTAATCCAATCCATTTTTAGTTTATTTTTGTGTAGGGTGTAATAAAGTGGTCCGTTTTCTTTTTTTTTTTTTTTAAGTTTATTTATTTATTTTGACAGGAAGGGCAGAGAGGGGGGCAGAGAGAGAGAGAGAGAAAGGGAGAGAGAGAATCCCAAGCAGGCCCTGCACTGTCAGCATGAAGCCTGATGCGGGGCTCAAACTCACAAACTGTGAGATCATGGCCTGAGCTGAAGTCAGACATTTCGACTGAGCCACCAGGCACCCCTCATTTTCATTCTTTTGCATGTAGCTGTCCAGTTTTCTTAACACCATTTGTTAAAGAGACTTTTTCCTATTGCATGTTCTTGCCTCCTTTGTTGAAGATTAATTGACTATATAATTGTGGATTTATTTCTGGGCTTTCTGTTTCATTCTGTTGATCTGTGTATCTATTTTTGTGCCCGTACCATGCTGTTTTGATTACTGCAGCTTTGTATATAACTTGAAATCTGGAACTGTGATACCTCCAGCTCTGTTTTTCTTTTTCAAGATTGCTTTGGGTATTCAGGGTCTTTTGTGGTTCTGTACAAATTTTAGGATTGTTTGTTTTAGTTCTGTGGAAAAATATTGTTGGTATTTTTATAGGAATTGCGTTAAATATTTAGATTGCTTGGGGCGCCTGGGTGGCGCAGTCGGTTAAGCGTCCGACTTCAGCCAGGTCACGATCTCGCGGTCCGTGAGTTCGAGCCCCGCGTCAGGCTCTGGGCTGATGGCTCGGAGCCTGGAGCCTGTTTCCGATTCTGTGTCTCCCTCTCTCTCTGCCCCTCCCCCGTTCATGCTCTGTCTCTCTCTGTCCCAAAAATAAATAAAAACGTTGAAAAAAAAATAAAAAAAAAATACTTAGATTGCTTTGGGGTAGTATGGACATTTTATCAATATTTGTCCCTCTAATCTATGAGCATGGAATATTTTTTTCATTTGTTTGTGTCATCTTTAGTTTATTTCATCAGTGTTGTTTTTTTGTTTTGTTTTGTTTACGTTTATTTATTTCTTTAGAGAGAGCATGAGCAGGGCAAGGGCAGAGAGAGAGGGAGAGAGAGAGAATCCCAAGCAGCCTCTGCACTGTCAGCACAGAGCCTGACAGGGGGCTTGAACTCACGAATCATAAGATCATGACCTGAGTTGAAACCCAGAGTCAGATGCTTAACCTTAACCAACTGAGCCACCCATGTGCCCCCATCAGTGTTTTATAGTTTTGAGAGTACAGGTCTTTCGCCTCCTTGGTTGTTTATTCTTAGGTATTTTATTATTTTTGGTGCAGTTGTAAATGGGATTGTTTTCTTAATTTCTCTTTCTGCTGCTTCATTATTAGTGTGTAGAAATGCAACGGATTTTGCACATTGATTTTGCATCCTGTACATTGATTTTGTATCCTGTAACCTTACTGAAATCATTCATCAGTTGTAGTGGTTTTTTTGGTGGGGTCCTTAGGGTTTTCTATATATAGTATCATGTCACCTGCCAATAGTGAAAGTTTTATTTCTTCTTTACCAATTTGGATGCCATTTATTCTTTTTTTTTTTTTTTTTGTCTGATTTTTGAAGCTAGGACTTCCAATACTATGTTGAATAAAAGTGGTAAGAGTGGACACTTGTCTTGTTCCTGATCTTAGGGGAAAAGCTGTCAGTTTAAACTTTCACCATTGAGCATGATGTTAGCTGTGGGTTTTTCATATGGTCTTTATCATGTTGAGGTATGTTTTCTCTAAACCTACCTTGTTGAGAGTTTTTACAATGAATACATGTGGTACTTTGTCAAATGCTTTTTCTGCATATATTGAAATCATTTTGTTTTAAAGTTTATTTTGAGAGAAACAGAGAGACAGCATGAGCAGGGGAGGGGAAGAGAGAGAGGGAGAGAGAGAATCCCAAGCAGACTGCACCATCAGCACAGAGTCCAATGCAGGCTCAAAACTCACGAACCACAAGATCGTGACCTGAGCCGAAATCAAGAGTCGGACACTTAACCCACTAAGCCACCCAGGCACCCCATCGAAATGATCATATCGTTTTTATCCTTTTTCTTATTGATGTGAGATATATCATATTGATTGATTTGTGAATATTGAACCACCCTGTATCCCAGGAATAAATCCCACTTGATTGTGGTGAATGATTTTTTTTAAGTGTATTGTTGGATTTGGTTTGCTAATATTTTGTTGAGGATTTATGCATCTGTGTTTATCAGAGATATTGGCCTATAGTTGTCTCCTTTTGTAGTAGTGCCTTTATCTGGTTTTGATAACAGGATAATGCTGGCTTCATAGAATGAATTTGGAAGTTTTCCTTCCTCTTCAATTTTTGGGAATCATTTGAGAAGAATAGGTATTAACTCTCCTTTAAGTGTTTGGTAGAATTCACCTGTGAAGCTGTCTGGTCCTGGACTTTTGTTTGTTGGGAGTTTTTTGATTACTGATTCAATTCATTGCGGTAATCCATCTGTTCAAATTTTCTACTTCTTCCTGATTCAGTTTGGGAGGTTATAGGTTTCTAGGAATTTATCCATTTCTTCTAGGCTGTCTGATTTGTTGGCATATAATTTTTCATAATATTCTTACAATCCTTTGTATTTCTATGGTGTATGCAGGACTTGGCATTCTTGTAAGTCATTTAAATAACTGTATATTATTAGTCTTTTTTTCCCCCATAAGCTGTAAGCTTTACCAGGGCAGAAACAGTCTGTATATTTTTGTGCATCATTATATTCCCAGTCCCTAGCATATAGGTGCTAAAATACTTGTTTGCATTCTATCTCACTATTTCCCATATCTAGGATGTGTCTCATAACATTTAGAGAGTGATGTGCCTACTTGGGCTTCCTCATAGCATGGCGGCCAGGTTCCAAGAGTGAGCATTTCAGGAAAGCAAGACAGAAGTGCATGACATTTTTATGACCTAGTTTTGTAAACCATGTAGTGTTATTTCTATCATACTTTATTGGTCAGTCACAAAATTCTTCCGAAGTTCAAGGTGGGGGACTTCACAACTTAAGAGGAGGAGTGGCCACCTCAGTTTCTCCAAATTCCAGTCTCCATATATTTAATTAATCGACAGGTGATTCCAGGAAGAAAGCTAGGGTCATCATAGGGCTCACCTCATTTGTTTTTCTTCTCTCAGGGCTCACAATCCAATGCAATACCTGTTGTCCACCATCTAAAATCAGTTGTGTTATGTATCTTATCCAGTTTTCTAGTTTTGTGTAGTGGAAGGGAAAGTTCCAAGCCAGTACTGCAAGTCAAAGTATGAGTTTTATATCAAGGAGTTCCTTCTTTTTTCACCAGTTAAAGTACATTTTAGTTTCCAAATGTAAAAATGAAGTCAGCTTTGGCTAGAATTAATAATTTGGGTTCAAGTTTCAGACCTATCTCCAATTTGTAGCATGAATGTTGGCAAATGCCATTTCTTCTTTGGTTTTCACACCAAACTGAATTGAGTATAGCCCCGTTCTCAGGTTACTTCTCAGGCATTTCTTAACCAGCAAGTCGAAACAAAACCAAATCACACTAAATAAAGATGAGGTTAGATTTATAGTTAGTTGACAAAACTTCCCAAATCTCTATGGTACATCTTCTAATTCATACTGTAAAGTATAAAGGGGCTGAAAGTGTGTAAGACTAGCTGTTTCATTGCTTTTCCTTCTAGTAATAGCCAACTAGTATGAATCCCAGGAACTGTGTGTAAGCCTTTTATGTGAATTGACTCACCAAATCCTCATAACAGCCCTATGGGATAGGTACTTTACTGTCCCCATTTCACACACGAGAATGAGACCTAGATTAAACAACTTGCAGAACATCACACCGTTAATAAGTAGCGGTGGCAGAATTGGGATTGATTTGAACCCAAGCTGTGTGACTGTGGAGCCAGGCTTTTAACCATATGTGGCTATTTGAAAACCACTAGGTATGTGTCCACTGCTGCTAATGTAGAATCATTATCTTTAAATATAAGAGAGAGTGTCATCCCTGAAATCACTTCAACAAATCCTGTTTAGTCAGCCTGATTTCCGTGGGGAAGCAGAAAGATTGGGCTATAGTTGGAATATGTGATTTGCTGAGAAAAATACCATCAGTATGGCAGGAAATGGTAGATGATGATGTACACAGCAAAAACTACCCAGAGACTAGGATAGGGTGGAGTCCAAAGGGTCCAGTAGGGTTCTGTGAGGATCACTGGTGTTTGTTGAATCTCTCCCATCTGGCACCTGTTTTGATATTAATAGGTTTTATTGTTCTTTTTCTCCCCCTTCTCAGACACATGTAATGAAGCCAAACACCAAAATGCTAACACTTTTTCCTGGAGAAAAAAAGGCTAAGATTTCCTTTACTCAAAGAATTGCACCTGCAGGCATTCGGCAGACCAGCATCGCTTCCTTCTTCACCTTGCAGCCAGGTATGGTGACCCGCCTGGGAATACCCAGGGAGCAGAAAGGAATGCGTGCACTCTCCTCTGCTGCAACGTTTATGAGAAGTGGTGACACTAGTGCTTTGTGTTAAACTTAGTGACTTATTAGAAGAGGTTGTGTTATAAAACACAACAAAACCTCCCCTTCTGCAAAGCAATATATACGTGCTTTTACAAACATTTTCTTTCTGGTTCACTCAGTCTAATATTAAATATTTGTACTTCCTGACAGAGCGGTGGGGAGAAAGGTATACTTTGGGAGTTGGGGTGTGCAGGGGAGCTGACCTGCCATTAGTTAGGTCTTGGATTGGCCACAGTGAACAGTCTAAGATTATTTAATAGTAGGTGTTTCTGTATAAAGCTTCTCAAATTAGTCAAAGATGTGTTTTTGTTAGAAAGGTTGGCATAAAGTTGCTTGTGTCTCATCATCCTTTGGTAGTTCTTTGCTTACGTGTCCCTTTTCAGAGGATATGCTACCTCAGAGCAGGCTGGGGCTTACAGAGCAGGGTGTCTGCCGGATGAAGGGTGCTGGGAGAGCTTTAACAAATTTTGATTCCCAGGGTTGCACTGCATAAATCTTAAATTCACTCTTCCTGCCCCAAACAAGAACTTAAAATAAGCAACTTTTTGCTTTAAGTAACAAGGGCTGATTTTCTTCAAGGATGCTTCCTATTTCAAAATTCTGGCATGTTCTATAATCTATTGAATTCTTAGGCAACGTTGAGAAATCTTTCACAAAACATGGTTTCTGCCCTATGATTCCTGTTGGAGGAAGAGGAAATCATTCAGCTTTGTTTGTAATTAGATCTTGGTATAATGGGTGGGAGGATTCCATGTAATTCATCAAGGCAGAACAGGATCCATTCCATGCCTGATCAAAGGGACAGGCTGAACATTAGCAGTTTCTTTTTATTGTCCTTCCTACTGGTTGACTTAGCATCCTGATGGTCTTTACTCCCTTTCCCATGAAATGTTTGCAGAGTGGGGCATTTAATGTTCTTTGCACTGTCACCAGTGCAGTTGTCACCAGTGAAAACTGTTTCACATACTTCTCAAAGGACGATATATTTAGCCAAAATCACTGTTTAGCAGAAACCATGTTAAATAAGAAACAAAAGCAAAGTTGACGTGCCCTGTTAGACAAACCCCACATATGAAAACGCAGCCAGAAAAGTAGGCTGTGTGATCTGAGCATAGCTAGCATGTTTGACTCTGTTAGGCAGATCACTGGAAGCATCCATATATTTGAGCACCAGAATAGGAGGACTGTGTTTTAAAAAATCATTTTGGAGAAAGTAGAGATTAAAAGCAGGAAGACCAGCTATAAAGATGTGTGACAAGTCTGAGACCCCTGCACTAGGCAGTGGTAGTAGCTGATACTGATTTAAAAAAAAACCAGCTAAATCCTGCTCAGGGCAGAGTTTTCCTGCAGAGTAATATTTGCTCATGTCTGTCTTACTAGGAAGGACAGTTGGTGGTGACCAGAGGAATGTTTCATCTCCTATAGAAAGTCAGACCAACAAAGAGTCTAAGAATGATGTAACCCAGCTAGACCATTTGATCCACGGCTTAGGGGATGATTGCATGGCACCCCCATTAGCCACTTCAACCCCTGCAGACACCCAGGAAGCCGGACTTTCTCCACAGCCCCTCCAGGATTCTGGCCACCACAGAATGGGAACACCATTTTTGACTGTGCTGTCTTTGCTCCAGCCTGACACCTTAGTCTGTGCTGGAAAGAGTAAAGCCTCTCCATCTTGTTCCTTCACCAAGAACTTGGAAGGTTCTCGCTCACTGGACCAAAAGGAGGAAGAGAAAGACTCTTTCTGGAAAAGGGAATGGCTTCATGGATCTAAGAAAAAGAACTATCAGGGTATGGAGAGACCCATTAAACCACCTCGGGGCAAGGGCCATGAGCCCTTGGACACGACGCCATTAGAAAAGGTGTCTGCAAAAGAAACCAGACAGACCCCGATCCTCCTTCAAACATACAGGGATTCCTGGAATGGGGAAAACACACACTCAGTGAAACAAAGCCCTTCTCCTATCCCTCTATTTTCTTGGGACAGTGAAAAGAATGACAAGGACTCTTGGAGTCAGCTTTTTACTGAGGATTCTCAGGGCCAGCGAGTCATTGCCCACAACTCTAGAGCTCCTTTCCAAGATGTAACCAACAATCAGAATCGGGGCTTAGGGCAGTTTTCTAGCAGCCGTTGGGCTCAGTGCCAGGAGACGCCCACTCAGTTAAATCTGCAGCCTGATTTGCTCTTTACCCAGGACTCAGAAGGTAATCAGGTTATCAGGCATCAAGTCTAAATGTCTTTATGACGGTTTTGTTCTAAAAGTACCTCGAAATGACAGAGCTGTAGGAAAATATTGGGGTGGGGGGGTTGGGAGTGTGGGTGGGAGGGAGGCAAGGGATGACGTTATAATTGAGCATTTTCTTGGTGTAAATAAATGGGGCCACTTGTTGAGGGGGTATGATGGTGCCTTTCCCTGAGGAAGAGGTGGCTGGTAAACTTGTGCGAGTCTCTGATGAGCAATGAGGAGGCAGGGCAGGTACTTATCCCTCCACTAAAGAGTCCCTACTCAGCCTGCAGAGCCACCTCTGTGCCCTTTCAGATGCCTGACTGGAACAGCGCTTCTTACGGATGGGTGTTCTTCTAATCTCTGGCTGTTAGCTTACCCACTCAACCATGGGACCATTATTCCTGACACCTTTTTGAGGTGATAAGGCAAATCTCCTGGGCCCAGATGTATGGGGTCAGAGAGGATAGAGAGATTTAAAAAAAACCACCATCATTCTGCTTTCTACTTATTTTTGTGGGGATTTTACAGCATTTTAAAGACTTCTTCTGTGTTTAAACATCTCCCTTAAAATAGCCTGAGCTATATAACAATCTGGATGTGATACCACTCTTCTACAAGGTATGAGGGAACTCCCTTTGTAAAACTACGAATCCAAATAAATGACTCTATAAGCTGACTCTGATGGTAATTAAAACATTACCGCTTTATTTCTGGAAAAGCAACTTTTTAATAATATATGCTCTGTCACTGCCAGGGTCTCACCTGAACACCTGTGTTCTAGCCGAGATGTTATCCACCAGGTGGCAGTTTCCCATGTTGCAGGTACGCTACCTTAAGAGGCTCAAACAGCCCCTAGGGGGCAAGTGTGCAAGCTGTAAGATGGAACTACTTTAAGAGTTTGGGTAAAATCCCTACAGAAGGGGACAAGAGGCTCCCTACAGAAGTGTTTTTTTTTGTTTTTATATAGGCAGGACTTTATAAGAAAAGAGGGGAAGCCTCTTTTTACGAAACTTCACATACCTTAAAATTAACAGGAATCCTATACCCATGGGGGATGCAAGGGGTCACAACCCAGAGACAAAGAGCAGGTGCAGTATCTCTCCATATCCTTCATTTAATGTCAGGTAGTGCTTCAACCCACACACACACAGGATACATACCGTAGAGAAAGGGACCCGAGGGCGTCTGAGTCATGCATGGTGTGGTAGGTACAAACCTTGGCCCAACGCAAAGGAGCAGTCAAGGGCCTGGAAAAAGGATGGTACTCTTCTCTCCTCCCCATTTCTCTTTCGTACTAGGCTTAAACTAAAGTCCACGGAAGAGAAAGCATTTTCAATCAGTGGAACCCGTGAGGGCCCAGGGCCTGGGAGGGTAGATCTGGTTGTAGAGTATTACAAAATATATTTAAGAAAAAAGCAGCCCAGGCTTCCCAGCAGCAGCCCAAGTGTCAGCTGGTCCAGAGGTGTGACCCTCTATATCTAGGTATTGGACTGGGAAGGAGGAGAGGGGGGTTGCTGGGCACTGGTGTCCATTTATGATGGAGCAGCATAAGATTTTCCTTGCCCTGTCAACACATACAAATACAGCCCCCCTCCCCTCAGCCCTGCTCTGCTACAGGGAAGCCGCTGAGAGTGATAGCTGGGCACAAAGTGTCCGGTGAGACCAGTTATGGGGTCTAATGCAGTGAAGTAATAAGCCATTCACTTAGAACTGATTTTCACACAGAGGCAGGAAAAGCCAAACTTCTATCTCATCCTTTAGACTGAGACATTCCAACCTATGCATTTACCTGTAGCAAGTGTCTCAGTGCAAAACATGCCTTAGCTTCTGCTAAGGTTCGAAGCAAAGGAAGCATAATCCAACTTTTCTCTTTCAGTCCAAGCTCTAGATTTCCGCAAGACCTTTGCAAAAAGATTTCTAACTGTGAGGCAGAAAGGTCTGTGGTGAGGAAGGCAGCTATTGAAGGAATTCCAGGAGCATGAGACTGAATTTGCAGAGCTGAGTTCTGTCAGTTTCCCTTTCTACTAATATCTTCTTCCTTCAGGGCAAACTTCCTCCTTAGGACCTCAGAGATTAGGACGGCAGGGTCTTCCTCCTTTAGTAAACTCCGGCTCCTACAGACAAAATCATAACTTAGATTTATTAAGTACTTGCTCTGTCTCAGGTAGTGTTCTGTGTCTTTGAATACGTTATCTTCATTCAGTCCTCACAACAATCGTACAAAGTTGGTGCTATTAAAATCCTTTTTTTCAGATGAAACTGAAGCACACACAGGATTATACAGTTTTGCCAGTCACTAGATACTCAGCTAGTAAGTGGCAAATCCAGAATCCAAAACCAAGCTAGCTTGTTTCTTAACTAGAATGCTTTACTATTTCCTGAAATGGCTATAGAATGTGGGCAAAGTAAAGGACTATCAACCTGGTAGAGCTGGTCTATGATCGCTAAGCTTCTCCCACCTTTTGGTGTCTTTTCTTTGTAGCATTTCTGCAGGGGAAGGGATTCTTGACTCTTGGCTATTTTATTAGTTCTACAGAAAAGGTGTGCTGAAGATTTCCTACTACCCTGTTTATCAGGGGAGCTCTTAGATTTTTTTTTTTTTAATTGGAAAGAACACTTAACAAGAGATCTATGCTCTTAACAAATTTCTAAGCATATAATACATTGTCAGCTATAGGTACAATCTTTTTAAATTTATTCAGAGTGCACGCGCATGTGAGCAGGGGAGAGGGGCGGGGGGCTGGGGGAGAGAATCTTAAGCAGGCTCCACAATCAGCACAGAGCTTGATGCAGGGTTTGATCCCATGACTCTGGGATCATGACCTGAACTGAAATCAAGAGTCAGAGGCTTAACTGACTGAGCCGCCCAGACACACCACAATCGTCTTTTTTAATTAAAAAGGTTTTTTTTTGTTTTTGTTTTTGTTTTTTACCTTTTGACACCTTTCACCTAGTTCTCCCATCTCCACTGCAGTCTCTGGCAGGCACTAGTCTGTTCTTTGTATCTATAGGCTTGTTTTTTGTGTCTTGTTTTGTTTATTTATTTATTTATTTATTTTACGTTTATTTTTGAGACAGAGAGACAGAGCATGAATGGGGGAGGAGCAGAGAGAGAGGGAGACACAGAATCGGAAGCAGGCTCCAGGCTCTGAGCCATAAGCCCAGAGCCCGACGCGGGGCTCGAACTCACGGACCGCGAGATCGTGACCTGAGCTGAAGTTGGACGCTTAACCGACTGAGCCACCCAGGCGCCCCTGTGTTTTATTTTTTAATTTAGACTCACATATAAGCTATCATACAGTATTTTTCTTTCTCAGTCTGGCTTGTTTCACTTAGCATAAATGACCTCAAGGCATCATATTGCTGGATATAGCAAGACTTCATTCTTTCTTAATGGCTTAATAATATTGCATTGTGTATCTGTACCACAATTTCTTTATCCACTCATCCATTGATGATAGGCTGTTTCCCTATCTTTTTGTAAATAATGTTGCAGTGAATATGGGGGTGCATACATCTTAAGTGTTTTTGTTTTCTGATAATACCAGAAGTAGAACTGCTGGATCATATGGTAGTTCTATTTAATTTTTTTGACTAACCTCCATACTGTTTCTCATGGTGTATGCACCAGTTTACATTCCTACCCAGTCACAAGGGTTTCCTTTTCTCCACATCCTTGCCAACACTTATTTATTTTTTTGATAATGGCCATTCTAACAGGTGTGAGGTACATTGTGGTTTTGATTTGCATTTCCCTGATGATTAGTGATATTAAGCATCTATTCATGTGCCTATTGGTCATCTGTATGTCTTTGGAAACATGTCTATTGCAGTTCTCTGTCATTCATTCATTCATTCATTCATTCATTCAGTAAAGTAAGTAATCTCTACACCCAGCCTGGGGCTTGAAGTCACAACCCACCAACTGAGTCAGCCAGGCATCCCCTCTGCCTATTTTTTAATCAGACTGGGTTTTTGGTCTTTTTATTTGTTTTTTGCTATTAAGTTGTAGTTCTTCATATATTTTGGATATTAACCCTTATTGGATATATGATTTGCAAATATTTTCTCACATTCAATAGTCTGCCCTTTCATTTTGCTGATGGTTTCCTCTGTTGTGCAGAAGCTTTTCTGATACAGCCCCATTTGTTTATTTTTGCTTTTACTTTTGGTATCCAGTTGAAAAGATCATTGCCATAACCTATGTCCTACGTCCACATGCCTGTGTTTTCTTCTAGGAGTTTTATGGTTTCAGGTCTTACATTCAAGTCTTTAATACATTTTGAGTTAAGTTTTGCATGTGGTGTTAAGACAGTGGTTGAGTTTCATTTGTTTGTATGTGGCTATCCAGTTTTCCCAGCACCATTTATAGAAGAGACTGTCTTTTCCCCACTGTATGTTCCTGGATCCTTTGTTGTAAAGTGACCATATATGTGTGAGTTTATTTATGGGTTCTGTTCTATTCCATTGAACTGTTTCTGTTTTTATGCCAATATCATACTGTTTTATTTACTATAGCTTTGTAATAGAGCTTGAAATCAGGGAGTGTGATGCCTTCAGCTTCTTCTTTCTCAAGATTGCTTTGGCTATTTGGGGCCTTTGGGGTTCCAAATCAAATTTTAGGATTCTTTGTTCTAGTTCTGTGCAGAATGCCATTGGAATTTTTATAGCAATTGCATTAATCTGTAGACTGCTTTGGGTAGTATGGATATTTTACCAATATTAATTCCCTGAATATATATTTATTTGTATCTTCTTTAATTTCTCCCAGTATCTATTTATTTGGGTCTCCTTTAATTTCTTTCCTTGATATCTTGTAGTTTTCACCTCCTTGGTTAAAATTAATCCTTGGTATTCTATTCTTTTTGATGCAGTTGTAAATGGGATTGTTTTTTTAAATTTCTCAGGTAGTCTGTTATTAATGTATAGAAATAACAGATTTTTACTTACTGATTTTGTATCCTGCAAATTACTGGATTCATTTCTTCTAACCATTTTGTTTTTGAGTCTTGAAGGTATTCTGTGTATTATCTGCAAATAGTGACAGTTCTTCCTTTCCAGTTTGGA